CTTCATCCCTGGTGGATGGACAGCCCAGTTGGCATCCAGTTGGGACCAGCAGGGCAGTAGCAACCCTGCCCTGCATGCAGAGGAGGCTTCGAGCGACTCCAAGTGTGACAACCACCTTTTTTAATTCTCTATCACAAGTTTGTGTTTGGTGGGTTGTTTTTTTCCTTTCCTGGCAGCTCTCTCAAAGCACCATTATACTGGTGGATAATGAGGCAGTGAGTGCACGTGGCATGTTAAAGAGGGGTGTCTTTCCTCCCCCACCCCCTCCTCTTTGTGGGTCTGTTTTGGGTGAGCATGGGTGTCAGTGCCAGTTTTGCAGTGGGTCCCCCCTCCTGGGTGCTGGTTTGGGTACTGGAGCACAAAGGCAAAGCACATGGGGTGTTGCTTAAGCCCAGTAAAAGCTGCTCCCTCCTGGGGGAGAAACCCCCAACTCCCCTCCTGGGGGAGAAACCCCCAACTCCCCTCCTGGGAGGGCTCTGCAAACCCAACCCAGCAGAACCAGGGGATGAAACAAAACCCTACACTTAGAGACATTTATAGGCTGGTAAAACTGTCAGTAGATGACAATTCCAGCTTCTCATTCTATATGTATGATCTGGGCTGTAAATATTCTTTTGCATCTATAATTATGGCATTGGGTTTGGGTGCATCTGCAACACGGGTCAATTATTCTGCCTGTTACAGCTGCCACTTTGAATTTGCTGGCTCCAAAACATTGAAATAATGACTTGTAGGGTGGATTTCCCTCTGGTTGAAAGGCCTCTTCATCCCTGGTGGATGGACAGCACCCAGTCCTGAGCTCAGCAGCTCTCCTGGCAGCCATCCAGCCTTCCCTTTCAACATCTTTATGGGGGAAAATCCCAGATAATCCTGGCTGAGCCCCCGGGCATGGGCTGGGTGGCTGGGCTCAGTGTGCCTGGACTCAAGGGGTGACTTGCTCGTGTCACAGGAGCAGGGCCCTCAATATCCAGCAAGAAATCATCACTGGCCTCCTTCCTGTGTGACCCTGGAGCAGGGCCATTCCATGCAACCAGTGCTTTGCTCTTTTGTAGCTCCTGATGGAATATAAAATCATATCTATATCAATCATAATATAACATTTTGGGGTTAGACTTAATGTTCCTTATGGGTCTCTTTCAACTTGAGATATGATATGACTTTATTCGTGTAATATGTGATATAATATCATCTAATCCAAACATACTCAGCTTCCATTGATGGCTTCTTAGCCAGGTTGCACAGAAAATCTGGCCATGAAAGCACAAGAGGTCCAAGGATCTTCACCCACTCAGGGGCTCTTTCTTGGCAAAGATTTCAAATCTACCCCAACATTCCTGATGCCATGATCTGCCTGGCAGGGAATTCTCCTGATTGGTCCTCCCCTGGTGAGATGCAAAACCCTGAGGAGCACTTAGATACTGAGCTTAGGAAAACACTGAGGGAAAATAAGCATCCCCAGCCCTGAAGGAAGAGGATCATATGGCTGGAGGGAGCAGGGAGGGATGAGCAATTCCATTTACACACCTGAATATTTCTTCAAATGAAGACTGAGCCTGTCTGAGCAGCAGCAAACCAGCTCTGCTGTCTGCAGGGGCTTTTCTCCTTCCCCATTCCAAGTTGGAAGCAGCATTTCTCCCCCCTATCCCACACACATCCCTGGGATGGGATGGGAGATGCCTTCAGATGGGGATGGGAAGAACCAGTGAGACAGACCCAGCACAGAGGCTGCATGAATCATTCCTGGGACAGACAACCAGGATTTTTGGATCTCAGGAACAGGGCTATGAAGACATGAAGGAAAATAATCTCATCCTTTTATTTCACACCTTTAGACCAAGGGGGTTGGTGTTTGCTTTGCAAGCTCAGGCAAGTGTCTACTCGGCAGCCCAGGGGATTACTCATCCCTCTACTCTTGGCTTCTAATTAGCTTCTAAAGAGGAATAAAATAATTAAATATGCCCAAGGTAATGATACTTGGAAACTTCAGGTCACGTTTCAGCCAGGGGAGGCAACGAGTAGTTGGGGCAGGTGAGTTTGAAGTCTGTGGGAACCTGAAAGACACAAAGGGAAGATTTAAGGAAAGGGGAAAAAAAAAACCAAACAACAACAACCCCACAAAAAAAAAACCCCAACCAAACCAAAGGAAAAGAAGGAAATCCAAATTGTACACTGTGAAAGCATGAGATTTGGGAGTTTAAATGATGCCTGGAGTTAAGGTGATGCTTCAAGTCTGTCTGTGCAGGTGCCAGCAGTGCTGGGCAAGGTGGGGGACATCTGGGGACCCCCTTTCCCAAGAGGGTCTGCCCAGGCACTGATACTCTGCTTTTGCAGGTGGGGGACAGGGTAAATCCAAGCTTTTTTTATTTCCCAGCCCAAGCTGGGTCTGTCCTCACCCCCTTCCTCCCCTTGGGGGCTGCAATTCTGCCCTCGTTAGACCTCGAAGTAATTCCCATTAACATTTATGAGAATTTCATGATCAAAAGAGGCATCAGCCCTTTCATCTTCCAGACGTGCCCCAACACATCTCACCCAGCCCCAAAACTCTGAACATGAAGCAGGAGCTCCTGCCTTGTGCTGGGGACCCTTGGGATGCACCCCAAAACTACCTGGGACGTTGTAGGGTCAGGTTCACCCCCCCGGAACCCAACTGCACAGCATCAGTTCAGCATTCCCCCTAAAAATAGATAATTAGCAAATCCCCACCCTTTCTGAACTGGGAAGGTGACACTGATAGCTCCTTTCCAGATAAGAACTATGGAAGGAGTTCCAAGCCCTTGCCTGGAGGCACAGGACAAGCCGGCGGCTGAGCCGGGCTCAGGAACCTGGATTTGGGAGTCCCAGCTCCAACACAGCCAACTGGGAGCAAAGTGGCTCCCAACTAGCCCACATCAAAGCCTGCTGCAGGGTTGTGAAAGCCTTGCAGGATTGCAGGCAGTGCAATTCCTGAAAATGGGCTCATCCTGTTCCCTCTGGGAGACCTGCCCTCACCCAAGGTGTGCGCGTCCGTTGCTACAGGTGGGCTAGCAAAGCCCACCAAGGAGGGGATTTATCCAGGGAAATGGGGACACACCATGTCCTTGCTGAGAGCTGAACATCTGGAGAAGCCACAGCTGGGATCTCTTTTCCCAAATGTGTGGTTGAGGTGTAGGAAAGCTGGCAGCTCCTGGGGAAGGAAGGAGCGAGGTGGGAAAGCAGGCAATGAGTTCAGCTCGTGTCTGTCATCGAGACCAGAACAAATCTTTGCTCACAGTTGTGTGGTTTTTTGGGGGGGGGAAAGAAGTCATGATGGCATGAGGTCACCCCACTGATCCAGTTTCACTCCCAAATGGTTTCCAAGGCTTTGCCTACGCACACGGGGAGCAGTTGGGAATGGCTTCCCGGGGCAGGCCAGGGCTGAAACATCCTCTTCCTCCTGTGCCAAAGGGCTGGCTGGAGCTAGCAAAACAAAACGACGTCAGCACCTATTTCCCTTGTTTATCATCAGCAAATAATAACCTGAGATACCAGTCTGAGGAAAGCAGAGCCTGCTTTCGAGGCAGGGATCACTCCCATGGCTTCCTGCTGGCGTCTGCTGGGTGCCCAGAGGGAGACACATGAACCTTCCCCCCCCTCTTATTTTCTCTATTTCAGCTTGAAAGTTGGTCCCAGAGTGGTTATGGGGCATCAGCACCCTGCCCTGCAAGCAGCAGGCAATGGTGAGGGGCAGTGAGCCCCCAGGAACAGCCCCCCGGGGTCTCCATGTTGTGCCCATGCTGGTTTCACAGCTCCTTGGCATCCCTGCCCGTGGGCCAGACTGATTCCATCCACGGTGCTTTGCCTACTGGAGGATGTGTCACCAAACCCAGCACTGCTCCAGAGGGGACAATGATCCTGGAGCGAGTGCTCTAGGGAGACACGTGCCCTCGGAGAGGGGAGAGAGGGACATGTCACCATCTGCAGGGTCCCCTGAAGGCCACGTGGCTGCAGAAAACCTCGGGTGACCGGAGGTGGAAACAGGTCTATCGTGTGTGACGTGGGTGGCTGGAGCCACACGTCCTCCAGCAGGGAGGCAGGGCAGCCCTGTCACCTCCTGGGGAGCTGGCTGCTGCCCATTCCTCCTCACCTGCCTGGCACGGGTGCTGAGCCACTGAACAAATCTTTGCTCACAGTTGTGTGGTTTTTTGGGGGGGGGAAAGAAGTCATGATGGCATGAGGTCACCCCACTGATCCAGTTTCACTCCCAAATGGTTTCCAAGGCTTTGCCTACGCACACGGGGAGCAGTTGGGAATGGCTTCCCGGGGCAGGCCAGGGCTGAAACATCCTCTTCCTCCTGTGCCAAAGGGCTGGCTGGAGCTAGCAAAACAAAACGACGTCAGCACCTATTTCCCTTGTTTATCATCAGCAAATAATAACCTGAGATACCAGTCTGAGGAAAGCAGAGCCTGCTTTCGAGGCAGGGATCACTCCCATGGCTTCCTGCTGGCGTCTGCTGGGTGCCCAGAGGGAGACACATGAACCTTCCCCCCCCTCTTATTTTCTCTATTTCAGCTTGAAAGTTGGTCCCAGAGTGGTTATGGGGCATCAGCACCCTGCCCTGCAAGCAGCAGGCAATGGTGAGGGGCAGTGAGCCCCCAGGAACAGCCCCCCGGGGTCTCCATGTTGTGCCCATGCTGGTTTCACAGCTCCTTGGCATCCCTGCCCGTGGGCCAGACTGATTCCATCCACGGTGCTTTGCCTACTGGAGGATGTGTCACCAAACCCAGCACTGCTCCAGAGGGGACAATGATCCTGGAGCGAGTGCTCTAGGGAGACACGTGCCCTCGGAGAGGGGAGAGAGGGACATGTCACCATCTGCAGGGTCCCCTGAAGGCCACGTGGCTGCAGAAAACCTCGGGCGACCGGAGGTGGAAACAGGTCTATCGTGTGTGGGGTGGGTGGCTGGAGCCACACGTCCTCCAGCAGGGAGGCAGGGCAGCCCTGTCACCTCCTGGGGAGCTGGCTGCTGCCCATTCCTCCTCACCTGCCTGGCACGGGTGCTGAGCCACTGCCACCAGCCCCAGCACCGTCCTGTGGCTTGGGCTCCAGTCACCCCAGTGCCTGTCACAGGGACAGGTGCCTCCACCACGTTGTCACCCTCCATCACTGCTTCCCATGTCCCTGCCATGGCCTGCAGGCCCATGACCCCAGCTCAGCCCCCACCATCCCACCAGCCACCACCATCCCTGGCATTGCCCAAAGTGCTGGAGCATCCCACTGACTGTCCTCTGGGAACCTGCCCAGCAATCTCGGGGACGTTGCCCCTGATGTGCCTGGGGACAGAGTCAGGAATCCCACCCAGGGGACAGGGCTTACAGCTCTGGCATGGCAAGGGCTGGTGAATAAACACCAGGCAGGGATCCTGCCCCTTTGGTTGTCTCTGGGGAGCCACATCAGGCTTATTTAAGAGATGGGGAACCCCCAGAAAACAGACCAAGTGGGGTTCACAGGGCCCTGCAATGAGAGGATATTTAATCAACAGAACAGTCTCCTTGGGGTCACACCAAGTACAGGCTGCCCCTGGAGTTGTCCTGACTGATGCATGTCCTATTGATCACCCACTGCTCCAGCCAAATCCCAAATTAACTATGGAATGGACTGGGAGCAACACACAATCTCCCAGAGCCCCATCCTGCACTGTCTGGAAAGTACATTTTTTCCTTCATGCAAAGAAAGGAAGGAAAGAAAGGAAAAAGGGGCTGGGGTGGGAGCTGGAGAACTTTCCCTCTGCCCTGTCCTCGCGTGGCAGGGCGTGCACAGCACAGCCAGCCATGTTCTGCTCTCCTGCCGTGGGCTTTGCCTTCCTCCCTCCAGGAGGGATCCCATCAAAGAGACTGCCTGTCCTCACATTCCTAGGCCACCACCAGTTGAGAACAGGGACAATCTGCCCAGACCATGGCTTTGGTTGAGTGGCCAAGGGTGCCAGGCAGCGTGGGAGGTGCCAAGGTGGCATTGCCTTTCCACCACCATCACAGCTGGAAGCATCTCCCTGGGCATATTCCTGCCCCGTAGGAGCCCTCAGGTGGTTCTTCCAGGAGCATGGGACCCCTGGGAGTTGTCCTGTGTCCCCCACCCCCTAACCCTGCCCTGACACTGGGGATGGTGGGTGGCCTGCCCACCTGCACGTGTGTTCCCGGGCACGTTGGTGTTTCCCTGCTCCCGCCGACCGACTGACGGCCTTGGCACGCGCCTGTTCCCTGGCACACAGCCCCACCATCACTCCCCGGTGCCTCAGCAGCAGCGTGACACTCATGGGACTGCCAGGCTGGCACGCTGGGGCACGGAGCAGCCACCCCTTGGGGCCAGGGGGGGAGAGGAAGGGACCCATCAGCTCATGTACCCGTTTCCCACCCTGTCCCGGCTGGGCTGGAGGAGACGCCGAGTTCCTGGCGCTGCTCCCCACCAGGTCACCCAGCAAGCTCTGAACAAGCCCAGACAACTGGGTGGTAAAAATACTCCCCGGCCCGCTGCTCCAGCTGGATTAGCATTGCCTCAGACACAGCTCCTTAGCCAGGCACCCCAGGCAAAATCCCAGCCGGGATTAAAAGAAAAAAACCCAAGCAAAAGGAGTTTCGGAGCACGGGACAGCAGGGATGGGGTCCCACCAACACCAGGTATGGAGGTGCAGGGGTGCTCCTCCAGCCTCCTCCAGCTGGCAATGCCTCCTGGCCATGGGACAACCCCTCCCCATGCTCCAAAACTCTCAGAAAGCACCATTTTTGGTGTGCTCTCCATCCCCAAAGCCTCACCGCTTTTCCCAGCGGGTGGGTAAAACCCCCCGAGGGGAGCTGACCAGGGGGATGGCAACTTCCCTGCCACCCTCCTCCCCTGCACACCCACCTCATGGCAATTAGTTCAGACGAGTGGGCCAGGGCACCCCAGCCAGGAAGGAGATGGGGCCCCCGAGGTGCCACTCATGTGGGTGCTGCCATCCTGGGGGCTGGGAGGGCATGGTGGGTTCTGGCCCGGCCTGTCCAGCTTGTTGCTGCTATCACTTGTGGGGAGGGTGCTGCAGCCATGAGAGAGGGGTTAGGGCAGGGTCTGCATCCCTGTCACCCCACCATGCCAGCTCCCCATCACCCCAGTGTGGTTCTCTGGGAGGAGGGGGCTGAGATCCCCCCCGCAGCAGTTTGGCAGCCCCAGGATCAATGTGCACACACACACACACACATACACACCCCCGAGGCATCTGGGGGGCTCAGCAGCCTGATTTTGGCAAAGGGCTGGGCCGTGGGTGCCCCCCACCTTGGGTGCACCCCCTCATCCCCCAGCCCCTGGGAGCAGAGCATTGCAGAGCAGCTGCCATCCGTGTGATGAGAGCCGCCCGTTCTCTGCAAGACCCCACCTTCCATCATCCAGCCGTGAACACCCAGACAGCCCTCCCTGCTGCCACCAGCACCCCGGGGAGGGGGGACAGGGGTGCCCCAAGCCCTGCCCGGCCGTTCGGGGGGTGATTCAGCAGCGCCCGGGGCAGGTGCGGGGCTGAGCCGTGCGCAGGCTGGAGGGGCGGAGGTTTTGCACTCGCTCTCTCCCGGCCAAGGATAAATAAGAGGCAGCTGCGAGTCCTCCTAAAGCTGCTCTTCCCGTCGCTCAACCCTTCTCGGCAGCCGGCACCCAGCCCAGAGCACCCATGGACTCTCAGGATTGCCCTTGTGCCGCGGGTAAGCAGCGCTTCCCTCCGCCCCGCATCCCGCTGGGAACACCGGTGCTCCCGCCCCGCGGCTTCCTCTGCCCTTCCTCATGCTCTTCATCCTGGCCGGGATGAGATCCATGCCCACGTCACGCCGGGAATGCCGTGCTGTGTCCCCCCCGGAGCGGTGCTGGGGATGCTCTTGCCCTGGGGCCCCCCTGGGAATGTGGGGTTCCCTCCCACCACCCTCCTCTGAACCCTTATTTTTCTTTTTTGGTCTCCTTTTCTCTCTGTTTCAGGTGGCACCTGCACCTGCGGGGACAACTGCAAATGTAAAAACTGCAAATGCACGTCGTGCAAAAAAGGTAAATTGGGGTCGGGGGGGGGACACACACACACACAGCATCACTCAGGGTTTGGGGGGGTCACTGCACATCCCTGGACACACCGAATCAAACCAGGCTTGGCATTGACAGAATTGAGTTTATTCCTCCTGGGGGTTTTTGCCTCCTCCCCAAAGAAGCCCGGGGTGAGTTAATACCCTCCTACCCCCCCACACCCCC